AGGTATTATGAGAATACAAATTATAAATTAATATTCGCTGCTACCTAATAAAACAAACAAAAACAAAGCAAACAAACAAACAAAAACAACAGACAAAACGAAGAGTAACAAAAAAACGAGTAAATCAATAAGCAAGCAAGCAAACAAGCAAACTGTGCATAAAGCAAACATAAAAACAGCAAACAAACGAACAGACTCCCCATACACCTGAATAAGCAAAGTTATTAAAATATAAAAAAGCTACGAACAGCTGCAGCATATTTATTTAGAACATAATTAAATAAAAACATACAAGTGGAAAATAACAGACAAACAAAACGAACGTAGCTACTGACGAGGTGGAGGCATTTTGCTGTTCTGCTGCAGCTGGTGCATTTATTAAATGCAGCAACAAACAAATATATAATGAGACAAAGATATTTAAACAAAACAAAGGAAGACATAGCTGAACTGTCTATACACCCCAAACCCCACACTCCTTTATTTCTCTGTCCCCTCAAATGCCCTTCCTTTTCGTTTAAACATTTAAAAGAAATAAATATCTTTGTATGCTTTCAGCTGCTGCAGTGTACAGACGTCTTAGTTACGCTTAGTAGAAATAAAGTATTGAAATTATAAATAAATAAAATATTATAGTGACTAATTAATATTAATATATTTGTACGGGTACTCAATAATAAAGCAAATAATGATTATTGATAAGATAATTATTAATTAGTTGTTTTAAATAAATAGAAATTTAAAACGGTGAGGAAAATTCATTACAAGCCCCAACACAGAGGCACACGCGGACGCAGCACATTTGCATGCAGCAGCAGCCCGCAGCAGCAGCAGAAGCAAACCGCAGCACAACAAATTCTGCTGCTGCTGCTGCTTCTGCTGCAGCAGGTGCTGCTGCTGCTCCCTATCAGCTGCACTGTGAGCGCAATACTCTGCAGCAGCTGCGGCAAGGCAACGCCAGCAGCGGGCTTCCCGCTGCTGCTGCTGCTGCTGCTGCTGCAAAGTGCTGCTCCCCTTGCAGCAGCACAGAGAAAAAGAAGGAGACAAGTGCCGAAGAGAGAGACAAAAAGCATTTTGTGCAACACCCGAAGAAACCCTAAACCCTAAGGCTGAAACCCTCCTCTGCTGCAGTGTACAGACACCCCAACAGCAGCAGCAGCTGCAACAAGAACACCATACACTGCCGCTGCAGCGGCCTCCGCATGCACCTGTATCACTTTACAGCAACAGAAGCTGCTATTGCTGTTGCTGCTGCCGCACGTGCTGCTGCTGCTGCAGCAGGTGCTGCAGCAAGTGCTGCTGCTGTTGCTGCAGCTGGCGGAGCAGCAATCCAGGGAAACTACTGAAAACAGCAGCAGAACGAAAGCAAAAGGAAGTGCTGCAGCATCATTCAAACCTATTCTTTTGCTGCTAGCAGGCACCTGAAGAGCGCCTCTTTGCCTTTGGCTGCTGCTGAGCTCCTCTGCTGCGCTTGGGTGCCTTAGCGGAAGGAGAAGCAGCAGCAGCAGCAGCAGCAGCAGGAGCAGCAGTAGCAGACGCAACAGCAGCACGAGGCATCTGAGGGGTCCCTCTCCCATTCACTCGAGGAGATCGCCGCTTGCCGCCCAAGGAAGGCGAAGATGTCAAATCCTGCTGCTGCTGCTGATCTTGCTGCTGCTGCTGCTGCTGCTGCTGCTCGTCCTGCTGCTGCGCCTCCTCATCTTGCTGCTGCTGCTGCTGCTGCACTTCAGAAGGGGCTGAGGGGAGCCCACCACAACTACTTGCTTGCAGTTCTGCACCTTGCAAATGTGCGGGCGTCACAGCGTTGCTGCTGCCGCTGTTGCTGTTGCTGCTGCTGCTGTTGTTGCTGCTGCTGCTGCAGATGCCTGTTGGTTCTGTTGACGTAGGCGCCCATGCAGTGCTTTTTTTCTCTGGGGTTTTTGCTGCTGCAAGGGTGCCTCTAGGGTGTAGCCGTGTTGCTGCTGCTGCTGTTGCTGCTGCTGCTGCTCCTGCCAGTCTGGTGCTCCCCAGCGGCCGACCTGGCGAAGCAGCAACAACAGCAGCAGCAGCAGCAGAAGCAGCAGGGGAATTTCGTGTTGGAGTTCCAATGTGCTTTTCTGTCAACTCGCTCCTGCTGCTGCTGCTGCTGCTGCTGCTGTTGCTGCTGCTGCTGCTGCTGCTGCCTGTGTTTGTCTTGAGAGGCTTCTTTGGAGTGTTGGAGATCAGCCGACCCGGGGAAGCGACGCGCTTGCTGATGCGGGGGCTCCTCTGCCTCAGATCGAGGGGCCCCCCTCCTCTAGTAGGCGAGCCTACAGCCCCTAGCTTCTCCCCTGCTGCTGTTGCTGTTGCTGCTGCTGTTGCTGCTGCTCCTGCTCCCGCTGATGCCGCTGCCCTCACTTGAACTGCAGCAGCAGCAGCACGCAAAACTGCAAAAGCAGCAAAGTCTGGCCGAGGGAGGCGGCTGCTGCAGGCCCCAGGAGAGCCCTGGGCAGTTGGAGAACCTGCTGCTGCTGCTGCTGCTGCTGCTGCTGGTGATGTTGCTGCAGTAGCAGCAGGTGCAGCAGCAGCAGCAAGTGGTTTGCGTGGCGTGCTGGTGGGAGAGGCGGGGCTTTGGGGTTCTCTGGATATTCTGCTGACA